CTTTTATACTTTAAATAGTTTAAAAAACAGTACTTTTATACTTTAAATAGTTTAAAAAACAGTACTTTTATACTTTAAATAGTTTAAAAAACAGTACTTTTATACTTTAAATAGTTAAAAAACAGTACTTTTATACTTTAAATAGTTTAAAAAAACAGTACTTTTATACTTTAAATAGTTAAAAAACAGTACTTTTATACTTTAAATTGTTAAAAACAGTACTTTTATACTTTAAATAGTTAAAAAACAGTACTTTTATACTTTTACTTGAGTGAAAAGCCTGAGATGATACTTTAACTTGTACAGAAGTCTTTTTAAATCCTAGTATGTATAATTCTACCTGAGTGATGAAGGTGAATACTTCTGTGTCCCCACATTGTAAAAGTCWGGTAATAAATTACAGCAGACTGTATTTCTTGCACAACGGGTTTGAGTATTTTACCCCAAGGAAAATGTTCTTGGAAGAGTCGAACCCTGCAGCATAGATTCGTGCAGAATAAGGAGGGTTTCTTTGGCAGATGATGCGACAGGCAAAGCGGGATATGGTGCTATGGACAACTGGACTGTCAGCAGTGCCCTGCCCATTAGGCACTGTGTCTGTCACCACAAAGTCAATGGGAGTCTCAGTGGAACGGCCAATCTGGAATCATACAGAAACAACGTGTTAATGGTTTCCTCTTTTCMCGTCGGTGCATTTCTGTTGTTACTGCAGATGTAAATAMTTCTCTAATGCTGCGTTCACACTAAACACATTCTGAGAGTCAGGGGAGTCAGTTTTACATGCAAAGTCTAWGATGGACATGTRTCAARGGGTGTCAGGAAGTGCTGCAACCAATCAGAGAGACTCTGCTTTGTGACGTAGTGACACATCCTCCAATGGGACAGTCTTGTGAATGATGCCCACTAACCTGACACAGATGGACAGGAGCTCTTTAGCTGAAATCGAGCTCCTGTAGTCTGAGTCCTGGCAGGAGATGTGGGTCAGCAGCCCGTCAGTCTGGGCTTGGGACAGAAATAGTTCTGAAAGTGACCCTCGTCAGCAAACAGCTSCTGGAGTGGTGAAACTCACCGAATGTCTGAATTATCTGGTGAATTATTTATGAATTAATTATCTGGTGAGCACCATGTGGTCTTGCTCTCAGTAAATAAAGCAAAGCCACTTTCTTAATGTCACCTGTACACCTGTACAGAGACCGGCAGAGGAAAATTACCAACAGGCTCTCCAGATGCACGTGACACACATCTGAAGCATATTCTGACCTGAAAGAGCGTTTGGTCTGACCACAGCATTATGCCACGTTGTAACTCTGGAACACCAAGAAACTTGATTAATTATTTAGACCAACTTGATTATATTATATTTATACCAACTTGCTCGCCGCAGATGGTGGGCAACTGTATTTAATAATGTCTTGTCATAGCAACTTAATTTCTTTTGTTTTCTGCTTTCAGGCAAGCAACATATTCCAAAAACTTTTAGGTCGGGACAGTCTGAGGTAGGGATGGGTACCAAATTCTGTCAGTACTACCGAGTATCTATTCACGAAAAATCGAACGGTACCATGTTTCAGTACCTAAACACATCATGGTGACCGGTTTGGTGTAAGAGTGGTGAGTTTTCCATGCTTGTCCTGAACACAGCATCACGCAAAAGCGTAATGACGTCAGCAGCTGCTGTGTTCAGTAAACAGAGGCAGCAGAGCTCGGTCTGAACGTAGCTTGAAAGTCTCACAGCTTCTGGAATAAAACTCACTGAACAGACCACCTCTGAATTATCTGCTGGATTAATTATCTGGTGAGCACGACGTTCACTTGCTCAAAGTAAATAAAGTAGCAGCACTTTCTTTATTNACAGTGTCTGGTGATGTCCATGAGTTCAACACTTCAGCAGTCATTGACAACAAAGGTTTTTCAACCACTAGAAATGAACCTTTTATTTCCAGTGATTGAATCTGTCCAATGGGTTTAGAGCCTCTGAAATGAAGGATTGTGTTTAAAAGATGTTTTAGTTCCTCACAGTTTTAAACAATCATTTTGTTCAACCACTGAATTAAAGCTGAAAGTCTGAACTTCAACTGTGTCTGAACTGTTTGTGTTAAATTCATTGTGGTGATGTCTAGAAGCAAAGTTAGACAAATCTTGTGTCTGTCCAAATATAACTGTATAATATATATATGTGTGTGTGTGTGTGTGAGAGCTCTAACCTTGGCAGCCTGAGGTGTGCAGGATGTGTGGACAGTGCTAGGCTTCACACCATTGGCTTTATTCTTGCGACATAAAGTAAAGTGACTTTTACTCCTCCCCTTGTCACTGCTGGGCAGAGAGCTATTACAC